GACTCAAGTCTTATTGTTGTAAGAAAGTGAGGCTTGTGTGATTCAAGTTCTCAAGTTGTACCGGTTTTTCAAGCACCCGTTGAAGCTTGAAGATTAGTAGGACTTTCGAGAGAGTCTCTCGGAGGACTGGACTAGCCACGAGGTGGTGAACCAGTATAAATCTCGGTGTTCTTCTTTCCCTTACTCTCTTTATTGATTCCTGCGATTTTATTATTTCACACACGCGAAAAACGCACATTCTTGAAAAGAACTCTATTCACCCCCCCTCTAGAGTTGCACATTTGTCTAACATGAACATCAACCTAAGTCTATGAACAAATGTAATATGTGAAGAAAATTAGGTTTGCTTAATATGGTGATGGGTTTATCGAGAGTAACTAGAGAATAAGGTCATGCGGGTGACGTCGTTCATCCGGTGGTCTCGAGGGTTAAAAACGTGCGCACGGTGGTCATTGACCACTGGCGAGAGCCAGCGGGGGCCTCAACCCCCTCCATTGTGAGAACTTTGGAGTTATGAGTGTGGGTTTGGGCGAGAGCCTTGATTCCATTACTCCCGTGAGTATGAATTGGATTGTATTAGCAGGCAGATGGAGTAAGTATGCATAAGAACTAAACTGACTTATACTAAGGATATATAGTGGTACAGTTGGGTAATGATATTTGCTGATTCTTCTCATATTGTTTGATTATATATTAATGGGTGCTAGTCTATGAGTTAGTGTTAGCGTTAGATACTTCCACTCTCCCTATTGTTACAGGTAGGGATCAAGGATTGGATGAGGAGCAGCCTAGAGGACAGTGAAGTGTGACGTTGGTGGATGGCCTCAGCTGTTTGAAATTGAATAAAACACTTGTTGACTTTTATTTTGTTAAACTACAAGAATGTTTGACGATGTTGTTTTAAAGGCTTCCGCAACATTTGAATTATTTACTCCGATTGATTATGAATTATTTTTAAATAAATGTTAAATGATATTTTATTATTAAATGTTTTAAAAATATTATGCATGTGAATACCAAATTTGTAACAACCCGATTCGCTAGCTCGTTGATTCGGGTTACGCGGGTTGGGGTGTTACATTTTGGTATCGGAGCATGTGGTTTTAAAAACGATTTTCGGGAAAAAAAAGAGTAGATTTATTTTCAAAAAAAAGTTTACTTTCAAAAAAAAGGAAAAAAAAGCATCCACAGCTTCATGACGTCACTGCTCCAGGAGGTAACTCTGAATCCCTATTACGTACATCTATGAAAATTTTTGTCTAGATTAAGAGTTGATTTGTTTGTTAATTAACATGTGATTTACATGAAATAATAAAAAGGGAATCGTTGTGTAAAACAAGAAGAACATAAGCACGAGAAGGTGAAAGTGTTCAAAAAAAACTTGCTTATGAAAAAATATATTGAATCCAAGAAGTAAATTATTAAAAAAAAGAAAAAAAATTAGTGAGCCAATTGAAAGAAAGTCTTAGAAATTTCTGTACATATGGAGAATAAAATATTTTACTCAATAATCATTTGTTTCGTTGATTACTGAAATAAGAACCAAATTCAGAAGGGGTTGCAGACCTGGATGAATAAGGATGCTTTATTTTAGTGTCAGACGAAATTGACAACTTAAGTAACGTAAAAAGTGTTTTTCTTTATTAAAAAAAAGGGTTAACAGTAAATCTTGTAAAGCAAAAAAAAAAGTACATTGTTTTAAAAAAGGTAGTTTTTCCCATAGTCAAGTTTCAAAATAAATTGCTTACCTTTAAAAAAAAATGTGTTATAAGAGTCGTGGATGTATAATGTTTGAATTAGCAGAACAAACGGAATATAAAAGTATTTTGACCAAAAAAATATTTGTTACTTAAGTAGTTAATTTGTAAAACTGCAGAATGGATCCTATCGTTAATTATGACGACGATCATCACTTTAAGGATGGGAGCGTGCAACAGAATGACAACTAGAATATGAACATGAACCAGAACGTCCCACACCAAGAGGCGCCGAATGGTGGGCCTGTTGGGGTTCCCCAGATCGACCATGCGATGGTGATGCAGCTCCTACAACAAGTTCTGATCATGAATCAGAATGCCTTAGCGCACGTTCGACAACCAGAACCGAGGGTTAAAAACGTGCGCACGGTGGTCATTGACCCTTGGCGAGAGCCAGCGGGGGCCTCAACCCTATCCATTGTGAGAACTTTGGAGTTATGAATGTGGGTTTGGGCGAGAGCCCGGATTCCATTACTCCCGTGAGTATGAATTGGATTGTATTAGCAGGCAAATGGAGTAAGTATGCATAAGAACTAAACTGAATTATACTAAGGATATATAGTGGTAAAGTTGGGTAATGATATTTGCTGATTCTTCTCATATTGTTTGATTATATATTAATGGGTGCTAGTCTATGAGTTAGTGTTAGCGTTAGATACTTCCACTCTCCCTATTGTTACAGGTAGGGATCAAGGATTGGATGAGGAGCAGCCTGGAGGACAGTGAATTGTGACGTTGGTGGATGGCCTGAGCTGTTTGAAATTGAATAAAACACTTGTTGACTTTTATTTTGTTAAACTACAAGAATGTTTGACGATGTTGTTTTAATGGCTTCCGCAACGTTTGAATTATTTACTCCGATTGATTATGAATTATTTTTAAATAAATGTTAAATGATATTTTATTATTAAAGGTTTTTAAAATATTATGCATGTGAATACCAAATTAGTGACAACCCGATTCTCTAACTCATTGTTTCGGGTTTCGCGGGTTGGGGTGTTACAATTTCATTCCAGAGGGGGTCATAACACTTGGACATTATTCCATTGATTTCCTTAAGGACTTGAGGGTGATTTGTGGTGCTATGGGATATATCATCCTCCCCGTCTTCAGAAGAGTTTGACCTCAAACTCGGAAGTTCTTTAGGGTCAAAATACAGGCTGAGATCCTTAACGTTGAATGTAGCAGAAACTCCGTAATCTCCAGGCAAATTGACTTTGTAGGCGTTGTCATTGATCTTCTCCAAAACCTCGAATGGACCGTCGGCTCTTGGCAGTCACTTGGACTTACGTTTAGTGGGAAAACGCTCTTTCCTTAGGTGAATCCGAACCAAGTCCCCGGGCTGAAAACTTGTGAATTTTCTTCCTTTGTTGATCCTGTTACTAACCTTCTCATTTACCGCTTCGATCTTCTCTCGATCCTTTTCGTGGAGTTCTTGAATTTCCTTGGACCGTTGATCAGCTGCCAAACTGTATTGCTCTTTTCCTACGATGGGATCAAGCTCAAGTGGGGTGAGGGGATTCGAGCCATAGACCACCATGAACGGGGATAGTCCTGTGGTCTTGTTTGGGGTTCGGTTATAGGAAAACTCGGCGTGCGGCAGTAACTCTTCCCATTGCTTGATGTTTCGTTTGATTAGAACTCGAAGGAGAGTTCCAAGCATTCTGTTGGTGACCTCGGTTTGACCGTCAGTTTGCGGATGGCTAACGGTGCTAAATTTGAGCTTTGTGCCTAGCTTTCTCCACAATGTCATCCAAAAATGGCTAAGGAATTTGGGATCCCTATCAGAGACCATGCTGCGGGGTATGCCATGGAGTTTAATGACCTCTCGGAAGTAGAGATCGGCTACTTGGGAATCATCGTATGTAGTAACGCAGGGAATGAAATGGGCCATCTTCGAGAATCTATCCACAACCACCATTATGGAATCCTTGCTTCATTGAGTTCGGGGCAGCCCGGTAATGAAGTCCAGGCTAACATCTTCCCACGGGGCGTACGAGACGGGTAAGGGTAAGTGCATTCCTTGGGGTAAGGCTTGGGACTTTGCAAGTTGACAAGTGTGACATCTCTTGACGAAGTGCTCAATGTCTCTCTCCATTTTGGGCCAGAAGTAATGCTCTTTTATCATCAAATAAGTCTTGTTGATCCCGAAATGACCGGCTAGTCCACCACCATGGACCTCGTCTATCAAGGTTTCACGAACGCTGCTCCTCGGGATGCACAGTTGATTACCATGAAAGAGGTAACAATCTTTGATTAGGTAATCTCCATGGGGCCCAGATAAGCATTGGGCATACATCTCCTTGAAATCTTCATCATCCTTGTAGAGTTCCTGCAAAAATTCAAAACCAAGAAGTTTGGTACTAAGTACCGTTAGTAATAAGTGTCTCTGGGACAACGCATCTGCGCCTTTGTTCATGGACCCGTTCTTGTGCCTGATGGTGAATGTAAAGGTTTGAATGTATTCAACCCATTTGGCATGACGGGGTCGAAGCTTGTGCTTTCCTTGAATGTATTTCAACGCCTCATGGTCGGAGTGAAGGATGAATTCCTTACTCACGAGATAGTGTCGCCAATGCTCAAGGGATACCAACGCATAGAATTCTTTGTCGTAGGTAGAATAGCGTCTCCGTGTGTCATTGAGCTTCTCACTAAAGTAGGAAACCGGGTGTGTAACACCCCAACCCGCATAACCCAAACCCGTGAGACAGCGGACCGGTGTGCCACTGGATTGGTATCCGAATATACAACATTTTCAAAACAATTTTAAACAAACGTTCTATCAATACATATAAAAATCCATCGGAGTAATTTAAAATAATGCGGAAGCCTTTTTAAAGTCAAACAACTTGGGATCTTGCCCGAAAACGTAATAAGCATTAAAGTTAATTAAATAAAGCATAACTACAGATTAAAGAGACAGCCACGCCATCGTACATCTCCTCCTCAATGCCCTCTGGGATCGGCTCTAGGTTCATCTGTCTGATCACCTACGGACAGCAAAAAGGAAAACAACGCTATCCGCTCAGCATTGACGCTGAGTGGCACTCCATTGTAGCACAAGAATAAACATAATAATTCAATGATTAAGATCGTGCATATGTTTATCCTTTTAATAAAAATCAATTCAACTTTAAATTCGGTTCTTTAGACGGTTGACCAACAGTCAACTTATTTTCTTTTCTTTCAAAACGATTCAGGTGTTAAGGGTTTCTCATTACCTCTTTGACCACCGGTCAAACCAATTTAGACTTTCACGAAAGTCAAACCACTTAACATTTAATGCCTATGACGGAGATAGCCTCAATCCGTAATACCGAAGATAGCCTCAATTCGGTGGAGGTAGGATCCCTCGGGCGATAGCCTCAAACCCAAGATCATAGACCCTCGTGCGCACGTCTTAACCTCACTGACAAGGCCCTGCAGCCGCCCGAGCAATGGCCAGTTTCTATGTTCGACATAATAAACCAATTGATCCTAACTACTGATTAGAATTAATTAATTAACTTAATTAATTCAATAAAGTCTTGGTTTTAACCATTAGGTAAAACCTACGTCAACAGAATATCCAGTCAAAGTCCAAGTCAAACATG